CGCGAAGTGCCGCGCGTGTGCTAAAACAGGGCATCTGCAAACGATGTGTCGAGAAAAGATATACCGTGCGGTGAACTACGCTGAAGTGACAGAAGAGGAATCGGACGATTCCCAGACGTATCACGTCGTGATGTGTGCTAGAGATGGGAAAGGACGCTACAAAGTGTCTTTGCTGATTGAAGGAAAGCCTATTAGGGGCGAAGCTCCTTATGGCGTGGCTTGTGCGTCCCTCGTAGTACGTAACCACCAGTGGCACATACTCGAAATAGGTATAACATTTGACCTCCAAGGTAGTGCCGGTGAGAGATTTCTTCCGTGCATTGTTTAACAATAAAAAATAGTGCTCAATGTACATGCCAATGGCTGCTAATGGGGAATGAGAGACAGGAGCATTCGGCTTTTAGTCAACGCGCACGCTGCGATCCCCATTGGCAGCCATTGGCATGTACATTGAGCGCTATCGGACAAGAAAGGGTTGCTACATTATACTCGCTGGATGTAACCTCCTTAGTTTTAGAAAGGTTTAGCGAGCGTTGAGCCGCAGGGCCATGAGTACAATGAACTAGTATATACCATGAATGAATTCGAGGTGGTTAAGGGGGAAGCAGATACGAAGCGCAAGCCGTAAGAAATTAAAAGCTGAATCCTTCTGTCTGTCATTTCACATTAGCAGCCACTGGCATGTACATTGAGCACTATCTGACAGAAAAAGATTGCTACGTTATACTCGCTGGGCGTAACCTCCTCGGTTTTAGAAAGGTTTAGCGAGCATTGGGCCACAGTGGCATGAGTACAGTGAACTAGTATATACCGTGAACTCAAGGTGGTTGAAGGTGGGAAGTAGAGCCGAAGCGCAAGCCGTAAGAATGTGTGCGTGTGCCACCTCTCGTTTAGTCCTTGGAATGTCCACTGAATGGCGGTGCTTCTATATGGGGATTATATGATAAAAAGATGCGAAATAGGTGGGACTTGGAGTGTTGAATAGATGAACGAACGGACACACAGACAGTTGCGTGGATGGATGCATGAACGGACGCAGGGGCGGATGCATGAACGAACGCAGGGACGGGCGCACGAACAGACGCATGGACGGTCACACAGACGGACGAATGCTTCGCCCCACTCTCCATCATTCATTCCGTGGATATGCTGCCATTTTTTTCCTATCTATGCTTTTGGATTTGAGCGCAGCTGTCACATTGATGCCTGAAAGTACGTTCAAGCAATGGTTTTCGCAAACTGCATGCAAACCAACAAAGGCAGTGTTGAAAACTTGTACAGCCCAGCCTGTAAAGCTGAGAGGAACCATCGAGTATAACGGCTGCACAACAGAGCTTCCGCTACTTATAGTAGAGGTCCAGGGCAAGGCTCTGCCTACGCTTCCAGGGCGAGACTGGCTTGAAAAGTTGCAACTTGACTGGAATACCGTCAGTGCTGTCACACAAAGCGCGGATATCCGTTCTCTGCGGGAAAAATTTCCAGACGTCTTCCGTATGACACCGGGAATATTCCGCGACTTCGACGCCAAAATAGCCATAGACCCAAATGCTACGCCTCTGTTCTGCAAATCCAGGTCTATGCCTTTCGCTACTCAAGAGGCAGTCAGCGAAGAACTTCGGAAAATAGAGAGTCATCGCATCATAAAGAAAGTAACTGCGAGCAAGTGGGCGACTCCCATTATACCAGTTCCGAAGCGTGGAGTTGGATTCAGAATTGGCGGAGACTACAAAGTAACAATCAATCGAGTACTCAACACTTTTTGCTATCCACTACCACTTCCTTAGGATTTATATTCGATGCTAGCAGGGGACAAAGTATTTTGCGTGCTGTAGTTATTCTCGGCGTCCCAGCAAGTGCCTCTCAGCGAAGAGTCCAAGCCACTGCTCATGATAAACACGCATCAAGGCTTATACGAATTCCAAAGACTCCCATTTGGAATTGCGAGTGCTCCGGCCTTATTTCAGGCCATTATGGACAAAGTCCTAGAAGGAATTTCTAACGTAGGATGCTATATAAACAACGTCATCATCACTGGCCACACTGCAGAATACTGCTACACAAGTGACACAAAAGTCCTGAAAGCACTTGGCGACCACAACCTAACGCCGAAGGAAGAAAAATGAAAAGTTTTTCTCGAGTCTGTGGTTTACCTCGGGCACAAGGTCTCGGAGGAGGGCATATACCCCACCCCTGAAAAGACAAAAGCTGTGCGAGATACGCCAGAGCCCAGTAACATCACGGAACTGAGGGCCTACTTGGGTCTTCTAAAGTTATATGGCAAATTCTTTCGGTATTTGGCAACTGTGGTAACACCACTTTAGGAGCTTCTGCAAAAAGAATGCAAGTGGGAATGGACGCAACAGTGCAAGAAGGCATTCGAAGAAACCAAGGAAATGATTCTGAACAGCGGAGTATTAGCCTTCTACGACGTCACAAAACCAATCGTTCTTAGTTGCTATTCTTCCGCTAACGCCTTGGGAGCTCTTATTTTCCACAAAATGCCTGATAGAACCAAAGGACCGATCGCATTCGCTTCGCGCACATTAACCAGCAGTGAACGCAACTATGCTCAAGGGGAAAAAGAAGCCCTCGCAACACATTTGTGCCGACCATTCCATCGCTACTCGTATGGCCGTAAGTTCAGCCTATACACCAACCATCAGCCGCTTCTTCGGTTTCCTGGGCGCGATAAGCCACTGCCATCATTAGCAGCTGCGCGAATGCAGAGACGGGCACTGACGTTGACCGCGTATCATTACAATCTCAAGTTCCAGAACGACAAGAAAATGGAAGTCGCTGACGCGCTATCACGGCTGCCACTGTCAACAAGCTTTGGGAACGACGAACCGAAGTGTTTAGCTGTTTTCGACGCAACCCTGCTGACAGCGGAAGACGTTGCTCGAGAAACAACACGAGACATTGTTCTAACACGTGTTTTAAGCTACGTTCTTTCAGGATTGCCACAGCGTTACCCTAACGAACTGCGACCATTTTTCATACACAGAAATCACCTGTCTGCAGAACAGGGGTGCTTGACTCGGAGAAATCGGGTGATCGTGCCAGAAACTTTGCAAGCTCATGTTCTCTCAATGCTGCACGAGGGACAACCAGGAATGAGTCGTATGAAGATGCTTGCACGGTCGTACGTGTGGTGGCCTTCACTCGACAAAGACGTAAAAGAAACCGTCCGGAATTGCCAAGTCTACCAAAGCACTCGTCCAGCAAAGTCGACAGGTCCTCTACAACCCTGGCGGTATCCAAAGCTTGAGAGAGGATTCACGCCGACTACGCTGTTAAAGACGGTGTAAATCTACTCGTTCTGGTAGACGTGTACTCTAAGTGGGTTGAAGTGTTTGTCATGTCATCGGCTACAATTATGAGAACCTTGGAAAAAGTGGATACGTTATTCGCCTAATACGGCTACCCTGAAGAAATTGTAACCGACAATGGTCTACAGTTTACTTCGAATGACTTTGGAGAGTTCTTGAGGCAGAGGGGTATCAACCATACTAGAACCTCTCCTTATCATGCCGCTTCTAATGTATCAGCAGAAAGACCGGTAAGAACGACCAAGGAAGCTCTCTTGAAGCATGTTCTGATCGATCAACACGCTGGAGTGAAGAATACAGTACAAGAGCGTCTCAACAAATTTGTTTTTTTATAGAAACACCCGACACTCGATGACTTCCTGGACGCCTGCTGAAGTTTTCCTTAAGCGCCTGCCCCGAATTACGTTGTCTCTTCCTAAACCAAGCTTTGCAGGAGACATGGCGGAACACCTGAAACAAGACAGGGAGCGACGTAATCTCCTCAGAGGACCTGCTGAATTTTTCTCTGTGGGAGACAGTGTACGAAAGGAACACACGTGGTGAGCCGGTACCATGGCAAGAAGGTACTGTTGAGCAAGTTGTCTGCCCAGTCACATACATGATTAGGGTTGAAGGGCGACTACAGTTCACTCACGTGGATCACTTGCGACAGAAGAAAACTAGCGTATGTACCGAAGTCCCTAGTAAGCCCGCATCTGCAACTGGTTTTCAGAATGGAGGAATCCGCCCAGGAGGAATAAAAGCGCCAAGAAGCCTTTTACAGGATTCGTCTTCTCGAGAGGACTTTTCGAAAGGCAACGTATCAAGCGAACCTTGCCCAAGAAGACAAGCTCCAACTCAGGCAACCTTATCTTAGTTAAGAGATTCCAGCGAAAACCAGACTGCCCAGGTCCTACCAACAGAACCACCTCTAGACGCGTCGTCAGGTACAGAAATAGGGAAGGCAGGACTTAACAAGATCGGATCGAGCTCCCAAGCAGTTGAGCATCCTATTGCTACAGGCAACGAGTCATCGTCAGGATTACCGTGACGAAGCACCCGCGAACGAAAGCCTCCTGAGCGGTATGCTGCAAAATACTTCACGAAAAGAGCAAGTTGAAATAAATGACTGTTGTTTCACTAAGAAGGGAAAAGTCTGATATTGGTTATCAAACGATCCAAGACGTAAGACCGTCATCACGATAAAGGGCTTTAAAAGCAGAGCATTCTTTCTATAAAGATGCATTCGTTCCTGTCTGGTGCCGGCTCCGCGTCTTTCCTCGGCCACGATAGAACACTGGCAATTGCATAGTTTACTGAGTGTATGCGCATTTTATTTGCGATAGACATGACTACGTTTTTCTTAAGATTATGATGGACGTCGTAGTGGAGGGCTTCAGAAGTGTACATCATGTGGTGTTCTTTCACGTGCACTAGCGTTGCACAGAACACGGGCCTTACAATTTTGCCACCACGAAAATGTGACCGCCACGGCCAACATCAAACTCGCGACCATAGGGGAAGCAGCCGAGCATCGTAACCACTAGAGCACCGTGTTAGACGCACGAAGTAGCCAGGAATATTATATTAAAATCGGTCTTCCTGAAGGACGAAGAGCTACATGTCTGAACATGGATAACAGTGATCGAAACGAAATGTATGTAACGTTACTGGTGAACAAAAAAATCTTACCTGGTCGAAGTGAATGACATTCTTCATAGATGTTCCAGCCGGCAGGTGACATAAGTAGACTGGCAATCTGGACTATGCAGGAAACGTTGACCATGTAAGGCGACGTTGTATTAAGAAACTTTTCCTCCTTAGAACAATACCAAGAAAATTGAATATTTACTTGTTGACAATGGGGGAATTCTGTATATGCACGGGATTGTGCAACACACTAGTTTAAGCGATTTCGAGGAGAGCCTTTATAAAACTTAACATCTATAAATTCAGTGAAAAACTGTTTCATACAAAAAATAATACTTACTTATACCGTCCATGTCTCGAATCAGAGAATCGAGGACTTTGCAAAATAAAATTGAAATCTCTGTGAACTGGACAATTAGAACGTGATAATTTTGGCAAAGTTGCTAGCCATCACAACCATAATGCTTTCAAAGAGCCAGTGATGGGCGCTTTTTGAGAATGCCTAGAGTACATATCGCAAAAATATTTGCTTAAAAATTTGTAAAATACAGAAGTGGAGATTGAAATATAATAACGGAAGTTGGTAGACAAAATTCTCTTGTGAGTAAGGCGTTTAAAGGGTGGAATACCAGGCATTCCATTTATCTTACGAGCGTCCCCATGAGCCGTCTGTGCTATTCTCCATATGCACTGAAATATCTATTGTCTGACCTCAGCCTCTAGTTTGACGAAAGATTGCAATCTATTGTCATAGCTTTTAGGGGCGCCACCTGTGTAGCATTTCTCAGAGTGTTTCACATAAATTGTTACTGGTAGCTAGTATTTACGAAGAAGTGGTTAATTTCAACGGATTAAGACCATGATGAAACTAAATATGGACACTCGGAGTGAACACACGACGAGCACTTAATTTCCTTTCTGAGTATTCGTACTTATTCATCCTGAATTATAACAACTTTGAAAACTGTCAGTCATCCTAAATAGTACCAATGACATTGTTTGCCGCAATGCGGTGCTCGTTAGGGTATGTTATGCGGGTCTGTTAGGGTAACTACGCCTAACTTGGTTATTGACCGAGGTGAAACGCACTATTTTTGATATTCCTTTCTGAGCCAGGTGCTTTCTATTCTTCAGAGATCTCCAAAAATATGGACGTGATGTTTTTGTGAAAACATACATGCTTTTTAGTGATTTTTGAAGGCACTAAAGAAAAAAACGAGAAAAGTGTGCCCAGGTTACAGCCCTCATGTGCGCTACGATTCTGCAGCTCTCTGAAGTGTGCTTTCCGCGCAATCGTTGGCCGGGGTAAACTGAGCGGCCGCTGCATCGGTTACGCATTGCCTCCGCATCTCTGACTACGCGACACAGCACGCAAACGCCATTGTCCCTGAGACGCGACAGGATTATTGGGCACACGAAGGTTGTTTCACCCGAAGAACGCTTCTGAGATCTCCAGTGCCAAAGCATGGGCGCCATAAGATTGCCTGATTCTGAGTTTTTTAGCACACCTACATTTATTCGAGCCAGCAATTAAATTCACCGTGGAACGTGAAAAAACAACGTTCTTCCTTTCCTGGACGTGCTAGTGAAAATTCAAAAAGCGGGGAGTAGAGTTGAACGTTTCAGCTTTTCAGTGTACCAAAAAGCAACGAACACAGGACGGTGTCTGCAGTTCACTTCTAGTTTCCAGACTGCAACAAAACATCAGTGATTAAGGCACTCCTACATCACTCAGGGGTCATTTGCAGCTCCAAAATATGCGAAAAAAAGAAGAAGAAGCGATTGCCCCTGACCTGCCGGACAATCAATACCCGAGAAGATTTATTCTTCGAAAACGCCAGCGACTTGGCTACCACAAAATTGCCCCCTCACCTCCTGCCTTTTGCGAAAAATAACCCTAACAATGAAGCCCATTTGAAACAATCCTACTCTATCTCTGTCCCATACGGGCCGGGAACCAGCAAGCAGTTGTGCAGGGGACTGAGGAAAGAGGTCATTCAGGTGGCGCACGAAACTGTCTCAGCAATCAGGTGATTTTTGCCGCGACCAGAAGACGGTCTGCCGAAAGAGAGGTTCCCCGGGCTCGTCTACAGAATTCCGTGTACAGACTCTCCCGCCACCTACATTGGTGAGACAAAAAAGTTTCCCGAAAGGATACAATAAAATCGAAACGATGTACGTAACCTCAACACCGCGTGAAACGCTCTTGCTGAACACAGCGAGAAGATGGACCACCGCATCAATTTCGGCGACGCCCGTGTCATTGACAAGGACGATAGCCAGACAAAAAGACAGTTTTTAGAGTCCTGCCACATAAAAACATGCCCTGCTAATATTAACCGTTCAACTGGAATCTACCTAGTGAATACATGCATGGTCTACAGAACCAGTTGAGTAAACACCGCCGAGACAACAATGGTGAAAACAAGGGCGATGGAGAGGACGACACCGCCAAGAAAAATCGCGAGCTTCAAAGCCGACCGAGCAGTCACCCCTGAAGAAGGAACCGAATTGGTCCGGAGATGTCGGCTCGGTGTACAGTCCTTACCTTTAATATTTGGGTTATACCTTAGCTGGAGAATGAATGTTATTAGTATTGATGTAATGTCAAGCATTTAAAAGTTTGTTTGATGTGAAAAAAATTGTGTATAGTACTCCTTTGTCATGTGAAAATCGGTACGTTGGACAAACTGGTGGGTGCCTTAATTCACGTCTAGGCAAGCATGACTACAACAACACTCTAAAAAATATCGAGTAAAAAGGGTGTCTCTTTGTCCCACAATAATTATTGTCATCAGGCTTGCGTGCGCTTCCTTTCTTGAAAACTCGGCGCCGGCCACTTTCCTATCGAGAATGCAATGTAACCCTGATGATGGGCATGTCGATCGTGACCGGATTGTACCAGGCGCGGGGTGATAGCGCGAGGATGGAACACAATACATGACGATTATTGTTGCGGGACAAAAAGACATCCTTTTTAATCGCTCATTTTTTTAGAGTGAACAAGCACATTTGTCACCCTGGTAACTTAGCTACCTATTGCAGCAGGTGAATTTGCAAGCCAGATCACGAAAACACCGTTGTTTTTTCGAGATCTAAAGATATGAAGGAATGAAAAAAACATTGAAGCTTTCACGATGCTCACGCTTGGCGAAGACAGGTGTGTTAGTGCGCCATCTATACATTTGTCCAACGATGAATTTGCTTTTTCGGGGAAATTTGACATAGTTAATAAAGCTTTGATATAAAGCCACACAGTTCATTGCTCTGTTGTAGTGGGCAGTGCGCAATTTTACGCTCCTTATCTTTTCTTTTTTCTTTCACCCTATACATATTTGTCATGTTTTCATAAAATAAACTGTTTTAGTTTGCCGTCGGATTGGTCCCACGTGTGCCTCGATGTGTTTTTTTCACGTACAATTCAGAGTGTCGTGAGTGTCAACCATTTTCATGGTAAATCTCTTTCTAACGAACACTTTAAAACAGTTATGTAGTCCCGCCGCATTGGTCTAGTGGCTGAGGTACTCGGCTGCTGACCCACAGATCGCGGGATCGAATCCCGGCTGTGGCGGCTGCGTTTCCGATGGAGGCGGAAAGGTTGTAGGCCCGTGCTCTCTGATTTGGGTGCATGGTAATGACCCCAGGTGGTCGAAATTTTCGGAGTCCTCTACTACGCCGTCTCTAATATTTATAAGGTGGTTATGGGACGTTAAACCCCACAAATCAATCAATAAATCAATCAATCAGGTATGTAGAATATGAAAAATTATTGCAATCTCATGGCCTCAATAATTTTTGAGCCCTGACTCTGTATTTTTTTCGCTTCATCTTGCGCATCACAAATAATATTGCTGCTAGCGTCGTACATTTTTACACTTGTGTGCTGGTGCAGTATTAAGAAAACGATAATGTGCCTACGGACAAGGTAAGTCTGCACAGCAGCATATAAGCCATCGCGTCGAGGCTTCTTTGTGAAGTTTTTGCTAGTTCATACAAGCTCGCTAGCTATCGCGAAGTACTAATTTAAATGCACATTGTTTTTTGTGAAATAGCCAAGAAAAAATATTGAAGTCATAGATAACGATGAGCGGTATACCAAAGCTATACTTCAAAGTTCGCGGGCTATGTAGTAGGCACCAGCGAAAAAGAAATAAGAATGGCATCCTGATCCGCAAGTGAGGTCAGAAGACTACAGCGTTCTAGGTCCATGGACGATGTTTTACACTCGATTGAATGGATTCTTTTGTTCTCAATGAACTATTGCCCCTTTTCATTGTTACTCTGTTTCTAAAATTCTTTCAGACGCCTTAATGCAAATCACAGCGGCGCCACGACGTGGTTTTGATGCTTCTTAGAAGCGCTCATCGCTTTTTATGCTGACGCGCCAGTTGTCCGACTGTGCTCGCCACAACTGGTCTTTCCTATAAAGGAAACCTTCACCATCCATTCACGTGCCATGATATTGAATTCGGTATATGCAAAGCTAGCGAAACGGCCCCGAGAACATCATAAGTGTGGCATATAGTCTTGTTGTAACATGACACGCGTGTTATGAATTTGATGTTAGGGTCTGTCGGTTGTGTTCGCCACGAAGTCATGTCACACCATTCTAGATTCGCAACATATATGAATAAAACCACTGTAATAGCAGAAAGACCATGACACGTAAATCATAACATTTATGACATATCATGATTTTCTTGTTATGACTAGTCAGTCATGTTTGTCATACAGTCATGTTATGCCATTCCAAAATTGGTATCCAGACCATTATCCGAACGGCCAGGAGAGCTAAAAGTCGTAGGTGGCTAGATAGATAGATAGATAGATAGATAGATAGATAGATAGATAGATAGATAGATAGATAGATAGATAGATACGCTCAAATTTGCCGAAGTTCGCATTTATTAACATCCGCTGGAGAAGAACGGTTGCTGAGCCGACCAAACTCCGCGCTCAGCATCAATAACTGTTTTGCTCTCTCCTCGCAATGTGCCGACGCCGTCAAGTTTGGCACGAAAGCCACGCTCTCGAAGCGTACAACACTTCGCGTTCGCCCGTGAGGCTTTCCCAGTTTCTCTTTCCAACTACCTCCCGTAGCGCCGCAGAAGCAG